GGGCTGTGTAAACTAGAATTTGAATCCTTGTTCTCTGGGAATCTGAAGTAATTATCTTCATTCAGGGTCCAGGAACCTGAGAGGCAGCATGATAAGTTGGTTGTACTCGGAGGACATTTTAATCAGCTCGATTGTCAGTCACCATGACAGCTTAGGCTCAAATATATCCCGGAAGGAGAACATCTGGGTCACTCAGTTGCGCTGAAAAATTAGGAGCAAAAGATCTGTCATGTTCTAGATTATTTTTAGAAAAGGGGAAAAAAGCTATTGAAAATTATCTGCATATTTTTTCTTGTTTTAAAATCTAGACACCCATTTCTTCCATAATCAAAATACTAATTTTGTGCATATTTCCCCAAACTAAAATTGGACAGGAGAACTGATGTTAGAAACACTTCACAGGTTTATTTTAGAACGACATTTTAAATTTCAGGTTCAAGAAGTTTTATAAGCTCTGAAGATTCATAGAAGTGAGAAGTTAATTAGCTCTGCTCAGAAGCAATGGTTGTGAGTGTTTTGGGATTTTGGTCTGTCTCTGCCTGGATTGGAACAGGCTATAAACAGGGAGGAGGAGCTGTGAATAATGTGAAAATGATGGTGGGGGTGTTTATGAGTCTGTATCTGAGTAGGTCCCTGACCATGGCTCACTCTTGGGTGGCCACCCAATGGTAGCTTGTACCACTGCCACTGATACCTGGGTGGCTGGTGCCCTCCTCTTCAGCTCTGGTGTTGACAAAGATTGTCTACTTGATCAAAGTCTACTCAGCCCCCCCTGAAATTTCCCACTCAGCCTCAACGTTTGGTCTTCCGTGTTTGTCTCTTCATTGCTCAGTTTTAGCAAGTCTTGCTAAATTGGTTTAGCTAGAATGCCCCCACCCCCACCCTCCATATCTGATCACCCTCAATACCTCAGCAGGTTCCTCATCCTCCACATCCCCCAGGTGATGTCTGATCACCCTGACCTCCCTTCCTCCAGAATCCTTTTAGGTCAGTTTAGCCAACCTCCCCACCCCCCATTCCAACTTGCTGTATTCAAAGTTGAGTCCATTCACCCTCCCTCACCCCAAGATCCCATTGCAGGGAACCTACACCTACCAAGACAGTCTTTAACAAGTACCACTGAATAACGGTTTCTTTACCAGTGCTGGTTGTCTTCGTGGGTGTGGCAGGAGGCTCAGCCCTCACCACCAACTCCAGCCCAGAGGGACTAGAAGTCTCTGTATTAATCTCAACCACTACATTCTCTTTCTGCTCAGGCACCAGGCCTCAATGGAATGGAATTTAAAGGAAAGCTCAGGGCTTTCTTCATTACGGGCTCACTGAGTGATTCCCAGACTCACAGGAACTTGCAACCAAGTGCAGCCTATCAGAAAAGTGCTCGTTAGAAAGTCCTTCTGAATGAACAAGGCATAGCTTTGATCCCAGCATCATTCTAAGGTGTCCCTCTTTGGCCACATTGGAAGATTCTTTGAGCAGGGACTGACTTTCGGACATTACCACGTTATATGATGGTGGATGACAGCTTATTGTTTTGTAATATGCTAATGATATGCTAAGGCCACTCAACTGCTCGCTATGACGTGCACTGACCACCAGGGGACAGAGAGTCGACTGGTCAACTAGTCACTATGATGTGCACTGACCACCAGGGGGGCAGATGCTCTAACCATTAGGTTAACTTGCTGCTGGGGTCTGGACGATTGGGACTGAGCGAAATGGGCCGGTCATGCCCTGGAGCCCTCCCATGGTCCCTCCCCAACCCCAATCATGCACCAGTGGGGTCCCTCAGCCTGGCCTGCACTCTCTCACAATCCGGCACCCCTTGGGGGATGTCGGAGAGCCAATTTCAGCCCGATGGCGGAACTACTGGTCACTATGATATTCACTGACCACCAGGGAGGAGACACTCAATGCAGGAGCTGCCCCCTGGTGGTCAGTGTGCTCCCATAGGGGGAGCACGGCTCAGCCAGAAGCTGGGCTCATGGCTGGTGAGCACAGTGGCAGTGGTGGGAGCCTCTCCTACTTCCGTGGCAGTGCTAAGGATGTCCAACTGCCGGCTTAGGCCTGCTCCCTGGGGGGAGTGGGCCTGAGCCGTTAGTTGTACATCCCCTGAGGGCTCCCGAACTGAGAGGGCGCAAGCCAGGCTGAGGGACACCCCCCCCACCCAGTGCACGAATTTCGTGCACGGGGCCTCTAGTCTTATATAATAAAAGGCTAATATGCAAGTAGAACAGTGGAACAACAGAACAACCAGTCACTATGACATGCACTGACCACTAGGGGGCATGCGTGGAACATGGTGTGCATCGGCCGTGACAGGATGGTGGAGCAGGCGAATGGGGGCGTCAGACCAAGGACAGTCACTGTCATTGGGGAGAGCCTCTGGTGGTTACTAAAAATTCTTTGCTCCCATGCACTGCGGTCTCACCTGGCACCTGCACCTGCTGCCTGCACTGGCCCTGCTCACACCCCCTGCCGGTACCTGGCACTGGCCCCAATCGATTGGCACCATTAGTGGGTGCGAGTGGCGGCTGCTGGCCCCTATTGCCCCTCAGGGCTTCTCTACCTCCCCCTGCTCCTGAGGGGAGATCGGGGCTGGCAGCTGCCGCTCGCACCTGCTCATGGTGCCAGAGCTGCTGCTCACACTCACTGCCAGTGCTGGCCCCGCTTGCATCTGCAGCCAGCACCGGAGCTACCGCTTGCACTTGCTGCCAGTGCCTGGCGCCGGTCCCGATTGCTTGGTGCCATCAACGGGTGGGAGCAGTGGCTGCTGGCCCTGATCACCCCTGAGGGCTTCTCCACCTTCCCCTGCTCCTGAGGAGCGATCAGGGCAGCAGCTGCTGCTCGCACCACTGACATTGCCGGCCCCAATAGCTTCGTGTCTTTAACGGGTGCGAACGGGGCCAGTGCCATCAGCGCGTGGGAGCGGCAGCAGTGGGAGTGGGGCTGCGGCAGACAGGGGACCCGGGCCGTGGTGGGAGGGGCCGGGCAGGGGCGTGGAGGATGGGCCAGCTTCGTGTCTTTAACGGGTGTGAGCGGGGCCAGTGCCATCAGCGCGTGGGAGCGGAAGCAGTGGGAGTGGGGCTGCGGCAGACAGGGGACCGGGGCCGTGGTGGGAGGGGCTGGGCAGGGGCGTGGAGGATGGGCCGAGACCCGACCCTGTGCCTACTGCAGCCTCATGGCCCACAGTTCCTTTCAAGGTGCACGAATTCGTGCACTGGGCCCCTAGTTTTATATAAGGGACTTGAGCATCTTTAAATTTTGATATCCTTGGGGGTCCTGGAACCAATCCCCTGGCAGATATGGAGGGACGACTCTATTATTTTAGTTAATCCTCACACCTGTTACTATTTCCATTTTCCAGTTGTGAAAATTCAGTGCTGCTGTTAGCACACAGGATTCACATTCAGGAGCCCTCCAAGGGCAATGGCATTCTGTGATTTTTCTCAATATCACCAGGGTCCCTTCCACACCCCTGGCCTCTTTCTAAGGCACCACTAGGTGGGCCTACTTTGAGAAGCCTGTCCCCACAGTAGCACCTGCATTCTCCCCACTGCAACTTGGCTCCCTACATTTACTATCTCATGTTGTTGGGATGGGTCTGTAAGTAAACTGAGCTCCTGGAAGGAGGCAGGAAGAGGGCGGCTGGGCCCTCACCTCCCTTATGCTTTCCAAGTTCTCCCTATACACGTCCCTGTTATCATTTTCAATTGGCGGAAGAAACTGGTCTCCTGGTCTTAGCTGGCAAGGACCCCTGGCTCCTTCTTAGTTCTGAGAAAGTTTCCATGGGGAGAGGCAATATTTTATTAGCCTTTAGGAGGCCTTTGACTTCTTAGGGGAGCCAGAGGGCTTGCTCAGCCACCCAGTTCAGAGGTAAACACTCCCAGGTTTAGTGCCTAAGGGCACTCTGTCATTTTAATGAACCTGTTTACCAGGTAGGAGGCAATTTTCTTAAAGTTGCACCAAGTTCTGCTCAGTGAAAGATAAGTGTCTCCCAATTGAGCCTTTTTGTTTGGATTTTGCCCAAGGCCTTTCTCTCTGCCTTCATTGTTAGTCCACAGAAAGCCAGAGAGGCTGTTCAAGATTCACTTTACTAATTCATAGCCTATCAGGAGGCGTTGTTTGTAGCCTGACTGGCGGGTTGCATTGGCAGTAGATGTGGAGCCTTGGACCCTTGCACTCCAGGGAGTGAAACAAAACAAAACAAAACAAAGCACAAACAAAACATTTTTTGCAATTGTTTAGAAAACAGAATTTTGAAACTAATGGTGGAAATAGTTCCTACTTTGGGCACAGCTGGTCACAATGGCAATTATACAGCTTTCTCACCCGAACAAATGTGCGCTTTCTACTGTGGAGCTTTGGGCTGAGCCCCCATATCTTTTAAGAGTTTTCTTCATATCGAACTCTGTTTTGATCTGAGATGGAAGCTCATCTAGGGTGCAGAAACCGGAAGGGACATTATTTTCTTCTTTCTTTCATGATGGGCGATGTGGCTTTTTTTACAAGTTTGCATTTTGGTCGAATGATTATGTCCCCTCTCAGGATGCTGGTTCAGTTGCATCCTGAGTTGTGCTAGGAAGAGGTGATTCCCGTAGTTAACCATGACTGGCAGCTTTCTTAGGTAGGAATCCCCCAGGTTGCTGCGGTTCCCTGAGAAGGTGTTTTGGGCATTTAGCAAAACGTAAGTTAGTTTGGTTGTGGATTATATTTTAAAAAAGCTCTTAAACTCTGCATAAGTGTTGCTCTGATGGGAAATTAAAGCTCTCAGTTTGTGTAGCAGGAGGTGCACTTGTTCTTTGCTTTTTGATGTAGGAAAAATTTAACCTGCATGTCTTAGGACTCTACCTTTTGCATAAGGTGATCCATAGATTCCAAACGATTATTTTATCAAGTGTGATTTTAATTTGATTTTTGTGACCTCAAGGTCGAGCTGCAAGTTTACACAAACAAACAAACTCCCCTAAACTCCCACCCACTTCTGAATGGAATTCTTTTACCTGGTTCAATGTTGAGAGAGTAGCTGTCTATTTCCAGATCAAGTTGTTGGGCTGCAGCAGAACAGAAATCCTCCAAGACCCGCTGCACGGCCTTGGTGAGGTTGTAGGGCACCGACTTAGCAAACCTCATTTTGCTATTCACAATCACACTCCCATTTCTGAAGTTAAGTATTTCAAGTTGCTTAAATCCTGTAAGATTGGATCGTAGATACGGGACCAGCTGCAAAATAAAAGATGGTTTACTCATAAGTATGTTCTAAGCACTCAGCTGTTGCTAATTCCGTTCATACTCACTTCTCATTATCTGAGGCATACATTTCCACTTATTTGTTTATTTTTGTGTGTTTGGATTTAACGGGAGACCAGAACACCACTACTTAATGATCTATTTGCAGTGATTATGTCCCACATTTCCACCTTTCTGTCTGTGTATTGAGATGGATGGGCAGTGGTTTTGTTCAGAATGAATTGTGAGAACAGAGGATTTTAAAAAACCAGGCCAATGCTATCAGCAAAGCAGAAATGCCAAGTTCAGTTTTGCTTTTAAAAAAAATCCAAGTAAATACAAACATGTTCCAAACTGAGCTCAGGAGTAGACTGCCCTACGCCTGTGTAAATGGCCTATCTATTTGGAAGCAACCAGCTTGAAATGACCCATTGAAACAAACAACAGCTTAAACATCAGCTTGTCTGTTTATGCAGGCTGTGTTTCACGGTCAACACAAACGCGGTTACGGTGGAAATAGCAGGGAACTGGCAGTCAGCCCTGGAATGTTCCCAACCAGCTGTGTGACCTTCACTGAGATACTTAGCATTGTGTTGTACCTCAGTGCCCTTATCTGAATGGTGAGGGAGATGAGAAAGTGGTTCCCTAAGAACCTTTTCCAAACTATAATGGAATAATATAAAAGTAAGCCCCAGGGCAATGTACTTCAGGCTTCCACACCTGCCACTTGTGAGCCATGGCCATCCTTGAGGTCTCTTTTCAGAAATGTTTGAAACTCAGCAATACCTGCCTTGTTCTGGGCCCAGAAAGTGAGCCACTCATCCATGAACTGGACACCTATGAGCCCAGGGAGCACACAGGTGCAAGCTGCAACCTCCCAGGCACGGCCCTGCCCGGCTTTGATTTCGTCCCTGTTCCTTACCAGAATTTTGACTATGACCCTGATCCCCATTCTTATACACTCCCCTTGCCTCAAGGTCATTGTGAAAATAAAAAAAAAATGAAATGAAATTTTACACAGAGCTTGGAACTTCTTTTCCCAATTTAGGCTCTCTTGATTTTGCCTACTTAACTTTGAATTCATTCTTTGTGTCTTAGCTCTGGGGGGAATTCCCTGTCTTCACCTACTGTGCAAATGACTAGCTGCTCCTTTCTCCAAAATCCATCCTCTTTTTCATGAAAAAGAGGCTGCCTAGCTAGAGACCACATTTCCCAGCCTCCCTTGCAGCAAGGTGTGGCCACGTGACTAGTTTCCACCAATGGAATATGAATAGAAGAGATGTGGGCAACTTTGGTATCACTTGTTTAGGAAATTGCTTCCCCTGGGCTTTCTCTCTTTCCCCTTCTCACAAGTGGAAATGGTCATAGTGACCCAGCTTTGACTATGAGGAAACACCCTTGGGGCTGACAGAGTTACAAGATGTAAGGAATGTGGGTTCCTGGATGGTGTAGAGTGGAGCTGTCCCACCCACCAAGTGAAAGAGAAATGAACTTGTATCTTATTTAAGTTACTATATTGTTGGTTTCTTCATTATGGCAGCTCGGCATGTACCCTAAGGAATACACTGTGCTAGGTCCACTTGGAGCCCATTCCCTGAGATTAACCCAATTATCTACTCACCTCATGGTGGGTGGTGCTGCGGGGTTAGACTGCACAAAGTCTTCCTTTAAAGTTCACTTGAAGAATTAGTTTTTATGTGGTTTTAATTTATACAACAATTTAACTTATGTGAAGCTTACAAATATTTTTCTGTCATTTTCAGAAATTCAGCATTTCTTACTGTACTTGCATTTCTTATCCCACATGTAGAAACAACACAAACATGAGTTTGGGGGGTGTTTTATAATCACAGGTATATGCCATCATCTCATTTTCTCTGTTTGGGATCATGGATGATTTAACCATTTTTTAAAAAATATATTTTATTGATTTTTTACAGAGAAGAAGGGAGAGGGATAGTTAGAAACATTGATGAGAGAGATCGATCAGCTGCCTCCTGCACGCCCCCCAGTAGGGATGTGCCCGCAACCAAGATACATGCCCTTGACTGGAATCGAACCTGGGACCCTTCAGTCCGCAGGCCGACGCTCTATCCACTGAGCTAAACTGGTTCGGCAATTTAACCATTTTTTAGTTAAAAACAAAAACTGAAGGGGGACTGAAAAAAAAGTGCTGGACCTTCATAGCTTAGAGCCCCGTGGTCAGTAGCCTGGAAAACAGTGACTTTATAACTTGGGGAAAGTCTACTCATCCTGCTTTTAAATCCAAAGCTCAGAATGAATAGCTATGTATTATTCCTGGGAAACTAAATTAGGAAAAACTATAAGGGAAGGTTGTTCAGTATAAGTTTGTTCCCAGGAGTCTGGGTGGCAATGTCTGCTCATGTGTCCACCAGCGAGTTCACTTGCCTCTTGGATCTGAATCCATCTCAACACTCTAGCTGAATGCCTTCAGCGACAGCCACATCAGAGGCTTGCCTTTTCCAACCAGCATTGCTCAAGACAGCCTGTGATTATAGTATCAAGTAACAACAACAACAAAAAAGAAGAGACACAGAGAATAGTAAGTAGTGCCTACTCACCAGCTGTGTGAATCGTTGCTCCAGAGCTTGGTACTCCAGAGAGCTCTTGTTGAACAGGTCGTCCGAGAAGGGCATGTTAGCCACATGCAGGCTGAAGAACACCACCAGCTCCTGGCCCTCGGCGGCGATGGTCACAGAGCTGGCGGTGATATTCTGTAAAGCTGGGCCGGGAGTGGTATTCTCCAAGAAATGGTCTGGGGTGGAAACATATCCACTGAATCCTGGTACTTCAGAGGAGGCAGGAGGATTAGATAGGTCCATTTCTTCTAAGTCTCGGGCTATATCTTGGCTGCCTGTGCTCAACCTGCTGTCTTCTGAAGATGCAGGCAAATGTGAAATCTCCAGAGCTGATTGGCTGATGGCAGAGTAATCATCAGTGGGGATGGTTAGTGTCTGGTCAATAGACATTATGTCTGTGGCACTTTGATCAGTCAGAGAGAAGATGCTTGATGCAGCCAAGAAAGGTAGAGTTTCTGATAGGGAGGTAGAGGCCATAGCAGGTGAGGACAAAGAACTGTCCATGGAGAAAGCTCCTGAGACCAATTCATTACATCCAAGCATTCCCCCAAAGAATAGAAAAGAAATCCAAAGTTAAAGATAACTTTTAAAAAGTAACATTTACATCAATGACTTAATGTCATATTTAAAAGAAATTGGTACAGAAAGGGGCAGGCAACCCTATGTCTAAGACCTATGGAGACAGCAGGTGGGTCCCCAAACCATTTTATTCAGGCCCAAAACTTCTACATGTGTGAGACTAAAAGATAACCATTTACCCAGAATTTCTGGAATCACACTCAGCCCAAAACAGTATATCTGGGAACCAGGTGGTAAAAGCTGACTAGGTCACCAGCTGGTGCCGAACCACAAATGGCATTGAATATATCTGCATCCCACATCCCCACCTGGAATTCCTAGTCAACTAGCTGTGCAGTTTTGAGCCAGACATTTTATTTACCTCCCAGTTATGCAAGCCTATATTTTTTTTCAGTTGTATTTTTTTTTTTGGGGGGGGGGATTCTAGTTATCCTATTTTAGTGGTTCTAACAATTAAAATTTAAATTATGCTTTTCCAAAACTGTATAATCTGACTGCATAGCTTGCCAATTTACAAAATGATATTGAAAGAGTAAAGGTGTTGGTTACACATATAATTTGAACTTTATATTCACCATACAACTTGCTAAATTTTTGATAATATTTAAAGGTTTTGTCACTTTTACAAGATTATACCTTGATAACTTTTACCACGATTTTGCATTGCTTTCTTAGGTAAGTACACATTGAACTACTGAAGTCCAATCCCACTTTGGTGATAAATTAAAATCAATACATGTTTATGAAAAGTGGTTAAATGAAACTATCAGATAAGAGATTGGTGGGTTATTAAAATATTCCAATAAACCTAAATCTAGGATCACTGACAATATTTAGGGCATTAGACAGATCAAAACAGGGAGCTTTCTGAGATTACTTCAGTGGTATTTTGGCAAATGTGTGGGGAAGCTGTACTGAAATCTAAATGTTAAGCATGATGAATGAACTGTCTGGGTGCAGATATAATCTTTGGACTCTCAGTCAGCTAATTTACTAGAGTGCAACCACCCTAACTGAAATTCTAAGTGATAAACAGCTCTGAGAGATAGAATCATATTAGGTTTGTTAGTTTCTTAAAATAAAACCTGCCTGTTGGTGAATTGTACATAGCTTTCAGAGAAGCACCCTCTTTTCTCTAACCTGGGGAGGGTGCCTGGATGTGTCCACCCATAATCCAGTCAACTGTGAGAAATGATGTTTCTAACAGCCAAGATCTCTCTGCATTCACACTGCAGTTTTATTCAAATCCGTTGCCATCAACTGAATGTTTGTATCCTCCCCCATTCATCTGTTAAAGCCCTGATCTTCAGTGTGACAGTATTTGGGACATTATTGGGATTAGAGCCTTTGTAAGAACAGACATGAGAGAAATGATCTCTTCCTGTCTCTCTGTCTCCCTTTCTCTCTGTCATGTGAGGATACGGCAAGAAGGCCCTCAGAAAGAGGGTCCTCACCAGGAAACAGCTGGCAACTTGATCTTGGACTTCCAAGCCTTCAGAATAGTGACAAGTAAAGTTCTGTTGTTTAAACCACCCAGTCTATCATTAGCCAGATTAAATAGTTCCCTGTATTATGTCACGAACCAATAAAAATTAATTTCTAACTCTGTGGCAACTTGACATTAATCATTCACATCCAAAATAAACCTGTCCAAATTATTTTCCTGATAAGAGCAGTTGGCTATTTAAATGTAGGGTTGCTAGATAAAATATAGGCTTCCCATTGGGACACACAAACTAAAATATTAATTGTTGCTTATCTGAAATTCAAATTTAATTGGGTAGCTTGTATTTTTCTTTGCTGAATCTAGCAGCACTATCTAAATGTGATTTGAAAAGACTCCTACTCTTTCTTGGCTTGATATTGAAACTACCAAGGCCATCGTCAATTCCTTTGAAATAAAAGTATCATCTAAATCTTACCACTAGTTATGAATGTATTTTAAGTAATTACATTTTCATCGGATTCTTTTTTTTTATTATTATTTTTTTTATTATTCTTTTTAAAAAAATTATAATAAGTATTACAAAGGGTGGTGGTGGGTTTCATGTCGTGCTCATCCTGTGTCTCCTGTGGTGTCTTGTGCTGTGCCTCACAGAAGAAAATCATGCTTTGCTGAGATCCAGGATGTAATTCCAGTTTGAAACTGATGCAAGAGAAATGTCGTGTGCTTGCTGCCAATGTTAAAACCTTGCTTTAGCAAGCTCTGCCTCCCCAAAGGAGAGGGGACCTGCAGCAGAATGTCCTACTGCCCTAGGCCATTCACAGAGCCACTTTGGAGAGGGCCTCCCAAACCACAGTGAAGTGTCCATTGCCACGTGAACCTTAAAGAGAAAAGGACAGTGCAGGGCGGGGTGCAAAGTGCATTGTGCCCTCAAATCACATAACATAGGCCAACAGGTCCCATATGTGCTTATATCTAAGAGACCTGGTCACACAGTAGGGTTCACAGCCCTGGAAAAGTCAGTGCCTCCTGTGGTTATAGTATTGCACATCGAGACATCTTCCTCAACCAGACAAATGGAAAACTGAACAGAAATCTCTCAGACAGGAGAGCTGTGAGGGTTGGGGAAGGGTGGGGCAGGGGCCCATAGAGTTCCTCACAAAAGACCAGGGAGCCGTGTATCTGCAAAGGCCAGGAGAGTGCCCAGATAGCTGAGGTCTGTGCCAGATAATCCAGTACTTCAAAAAATAGACTTTTCAGAAAATTATTCACTTGCTTAATGCAAAAAAAAACCCCAAAAAACAAAAAACAGTGAATATACACTCATCAACTGGGAGTTTTAACATGGGAATCAAAATAAACAACCCCTTAGAACTTAACTTGGCTGATAAACCATGAACTTGATTTTTAAAAGGAAGAAAACTCGAAGGAATTAAGAAAATTCTATGGGGAGAAAAAGGAATATTGATTTCTAATTTATAAAGATGGAGGCACTGAAGAATGTGTTAGAGGACCTTTCATTTCAATCAATACACAAAGAAGCCAAAAAATAGTAAAATATACCCAAAAGAGGGATGACATGTTAATTCCTAAGACAAAAAGTTCATATAAATCACAAATTGGCAAAATGCAACATTTTAAGCCTCCCCAAAGTTCCATGTAAGTCATCGGGATGAGCATGTGCAGGTGCAACCTTCGAGAATTCATTTATGACTGTGACTCCATTGTTGGGGACTGTAGAGTGACACACTGATGGTTCAAGACAAAAGCAAAATATGTCTGCCCAAGATGCTCAATCAACACAGTCACAGTGCCGGCCTCTGCGGCCTCACTCTGTGTGAGCTGGTTCCTTCTACACCTGACAGACACCGGCTGAAGACAGACCCCATCCAGAAGGCATACGAGCAGGCCAGTCCACAGGCTGACGCACTGCCTACTGGCTCCAAACGATGACTTTGCAAAAAGTTGAAAGAAGAGGCACACTTTAAAAGAGAAGGAGATTTCTGAAGGGAGTTTCAAAACAGACATTTCTGTATAAACTGGATAAAGGACACGGGTTATTAAAAAATTGCTGAAGGCCTCCTGTGAGCTGGATTCCCAGGAGGTGACTTAGGAGTCCAACAGCCTCGACAGCCCTTCCCAGAAGAAGCCCTGGTAATGGGAGCTGCCCACACACATGCCCAGAGAGTGGGGAGCACTCACATCTCGCTGGAGGCCTGACATTTCCAAGCAGAACTGTCCTCTTATAACCCCCTGCTGTTCACCTGAAATCTCTGATCTGCTGCTGTCCAAGGCCTTATGAAAAACAGCTTGGATACATACGCCTTTCCAGAGTGCCCACACATCTTGTGTGATACCAGGACTGTCCCTCTTAAATGAATGCCACCAGCACAACCTGCCCACTCCACAGCCATGAGTGCCTTGGCTGGTCTCATTACCCTGCTCATATGCCCTTTCAGAACTTGGAAGGGCTGGGATGAAATGGCCAGGCAAAGCCCAAAACATAAATCGTACCAACCACACAGGTCTGAGTGCAATGGGTGCCTGGAAGGAGACAGGACAAGCATCATGTGGGTGCCTCCCGTTATTCCCCTTTCATTCATTCTGCCACATCCACAAGTTGCAAGCCCAGACAGAAACCTCCTCCAAGGCAGGACAGTCATGTCTCATGCCTTATCTTCTCAGTAAGGGAGGGCGGTGGAGTGAGCGGCAGGTGAGGCAAAGCCCTGGGACGTTGTGGACTGTGAAGAGTGTGTTAGGGAGCAAACACGGCGGGGGCATAAGCTGGATGTGCAAAAGCCAGACCAAGTCTGTGTGGCTCTGCTTTCTTGAGACCACCTGAGTGAGGGGATAATCCTGGATGGGGACTGGCAGAAAGGCTGGGAAGTCAGAGGCTCAGGGGCTGCAGGCATCAACAAGGCCAGTGGCTGAGGGCTGTCCTCACTGTCCCGCCCATTCTGTTGATACTGGCACTCTAAGAACTCCCTCAGGATCAAGTTCGTCTCTAAAGTGGAGTCACAATGGCTGCATCACTTCCCCATTGGGTGATAGTGGAAAGTGACTGAGGAAACCAGCGTCAACTGGTCACAAAACCTCTCGGAAGCATCAGAAACAAGGCCCGCGCCGCCAGCTGGCTGCTGTCGGTGGACAAGCTCAGGAAGGGCGACATTCTGAGCAGCAGTCAAAACGTGTGCGGGCAGCAGGCCTGGCTTCCGAACCAGACGGTGCAGGCTGAACCCTTGGACAGAATCAGAAGGTTCTTGGAAGACCAGCCTTTTTTCCAGTTCAGAGATCCAAAGCGGAAATTAATTGCACATCAAACTCTTGGAGATGTCCATTTCCATAGCCTGGTGCTTTGCGGGGCAGGTGGAAAACGTGTATCTGAGCCCCTGCCCTAGCCCACACCAGGAGCCCCCCCTGGTCCCATCCCGGCCTGTCTGCCTGTCTGCCATTGCCCGAGGTCCCCCAACCCAGAACGCCCTCTCCCTGTCC